TTTTTTGTTTYAGTCTTCTTTGGCCGATGGTGTGTAGGGCTCATTCCTTGGTTATATAGGTATTTGTTTGGATGTTGGATGGTTAGACTGTATGAACTACAGTCAAACTGATAGTAATGTCTGTCTTGGTGGTGTTGAACTGATTACCGGGCTGGTTTAATGACTGGTTGTGTTGACTGAAACTTCTCAGAGTTGTTCTCAGCAGTGTTTTTTGTTCTCTTGCTCACATCCTAGAACTAAATTCCTTGAGGGTTGGTATTCTGATTGTGGCTGCTGTGTAGTTGGGTGGTGTTTGGATTGTTTTTCAGTAGTATCCGATGGAAAATTATGAATCAACTTCATCGGGGGCTACACCAACCCGCAGCACAGCGGGTATGGGAGGTGAAAACATGGTTTTTCCCATGCCAATTACCCCTTTAAACGGTCTGAACTACCTGGAGTGGGCTAAGAGCATAAAACTCTATGTAACGGAAAGGGGTAAAGCTGGTTACATTAGTGGAAGGGTGAAAGAACCCAAGGGTGAGACGGCTGAACAAGACAGGTGGGACCAAGAAAACAGTATGGTGATGTCTTGGCTCCTCACAGCCATGGAACCTGATGTGAAGAACTTTATGTGGGCAGACACCGCTAGTGAGATTTGGGAACAGGCCAGAACTACCTATTCTGAGCAAAGGCATTATGCCAAGGTTTACTAGTTACAAGCTGAATCTTCAACATGTAAACAAGGAAACCGTAGTTTGTCTTCATATTATTCAGCCCTTACCTCCATATGGAAAGAATTGGATCATTATCAGGCTATAGAGTGGAAACATGATGATGATGCTAAGGCCTACAGGAACCGTTGAAGGTACAGATCCTAAGAAGCAAAGAGTTGCCTACAGTTCACGAGGTATACTCCCTTGTTCAATCGGAAGAAAGTAGGCGGAATGTAATGGTTACAGCAGAGGGGGAGAAACAAGTTGCTTTGGCTGCAATGAATAATAACTCCACGGGAAAGAAAAGTGACACTAAGAAGACTGATGATAAAGATAAGTTGTTCTGTACCCACTGTCGGCGTTCATGACATACACGTGACACTTGTTGGGACATCCACGGGAAACCCAAGTGGGCAGCAAAGAATCAAGAACAGGGTAAAGGTCAAGGTCAGAAGAAAATGAACACAGCAAATGGGGCAACCCAAGATACTCAGGTTGCCGGTAGTACCCGGGACCACCCTAATAAGTCTGACCCCAAGGAAGATATAATGAATTCCTTCAGAGAGCACCTGGAATCTTATGATAGAGCTTTGCGACAAATGGACAGCTCAGTCACTGGTACTCCCTCTACTTCAGGTAATACGGCTTCTGCATTCCATGTCACTCCCACGGATTCCCCTTGGATCATTGACTCAGGGGCCTCCAACCACATGACCGGTAAGCCGAACTTGTTTCAGTCTTATAGCCTTTTGTCAGGAAGGGATAGAGTGAGACTTGCAGATGGTTCTTTTTCTTCCATTGCAGGCTAAGGATCAATATCTCTTCCCCATGGCCTTAACTTGAATTGTGTATTGCATGTCCCTCAACTTCCTATAAATTTGCTTTCAATTAATAGCATTACAAGCTCCTTGAACTGTAGTGTAACCTTTTTTGCTGACTCATGTGTTTTTTAGGACCTAACTTCTGGGAGGACGATTGGTAGAGGAAGCCTAGTGGATGGTCTCT